ACTTATTCTTGGAAAAAAAAAGTAGTGACGCCAGTGTATTGTGTTATCGCCTATCGGCTTCTTGTGTATTGTGTACATGTATTGTGTGACGTCATTAAACTTGCGTCTTCGTCATCCGGCTTGATCTCTCGTTGCAAGTTTTACTTATTTGCGGTGTGTTGTTCACTTAATATTGGCGATGCAGTTGATTAGTATTTGCCTTGCAATGAGACAAAATTGTCCATATAGGAGTTAAGTTACTTTCTGTTTAAATTTTGTCTCAATTAGTCACTAAATTTAAATCTAGACTACTAACTTCACATTACCTCCGCCTATGCAAATATTATACATATAAACAGCTCATCAAACACCTCATCACTTTACTTATAAATCAGATTACAAACAATACATACGTGAAGTCCCAGAACTTAGACTGATTCTTCGTCAGAGATTCATGCCGCAGGGAGTAGTCATTGCCGCGGATATTTCCCAACCAAACATCAAACCCAGCATCAGCAAGAAGAAATGCTGAAATCAAATGTGAATTGAAACTAAATTAATACTGGTCCCATGTCCATAACATTATAAAATCAGCTACTATCTTCTTCTAATGTAACTGATATAACGAGATGAATTTTCAGCTAGCCTATATTTGTTTATGCATTGACACACTTGTAATAAGTGTAAATAAAGGCATGGATATTAGCATATTAGAGGCTATACTACCTTCCGTGATGAATTTCAATGCAGATTTCAGAACCCCACAATTGAATAGTTCATCCACCCCATTTTCTATATACGACATTTTAAATATTTACTTAGACAACTTTAATTTACTACTTATTAGCTGGTCTGGTATATGTAACATGCAATGCTACAGGGTGTATGATTTAGACATCAAATATATATGAATCCCAAGTATCATAACAGATAGATAACTTCATTCTACTACAGGATTATAATCTGATTATGATAAGGAACGATGACAAATAAAACTTTCATCCTCATGTGCGCCCCAGATTTCTCTCCTACTCATGGTCCCTCGCCATTTCAAGGCGTTAGCTCAAGTAAGGAGCCGATCACAAATCAGGTCACTCAGCATATAATAAATACTAGCGTCTGATCAATACTTGTGTTAATTAGGTTACACTGGCCTCTGTCCATGCACTACGAACACCATACTTAGATTATGTCGCTACATATAACACCATTCAGCACATACCACAGTTTATACCCTCTATTACGATAACTCAGGTTATGAAAATTAACCTATAAGAAAATTGTAAATTATGATCACTAAACTCAGTTTCCATCAATATAATTAATGTAATCAATATACAGCCAGCTGCCAATAGTTCAGTCGGACCAAATTTGAAATATGCCAACACCCCAACAGACAGCTTCCCACCCTGAGTGGAAATACCTATACATGCAGCGTCTATGGAATTTGTGTATTCCTGCAATAACTACCCTACATCTAGTGTATTCCAGGTATAAGGTACTAACTCTTACTCGTTACTGGCTAAAATTGTTATATGTTTCAGGATGTTCATATGCATTCATAATTGCGCATGTATTTAGGGAGACCAGGAGATTACTAACTTAATTTGACAGAAAAATTATCCATAGGAAGGCATCCCCATTTGTATAATAGATTTCAATGGGAAAATATGATTAATATTACAGAATTCCCTCTTGCGAATGTTTTTCCTGGAACATATTACTTACAAACGCTGGATATTACTGTATATTTAAGACTGCTATCACAACTTTAGACTACATACTAGTTATCTGTGATTGTTCAAAAGACTCAATCCTAGTCTTTAACTCAAATATTGGCTATATAGTAGGCATTAGTGATGAATATTATAAATTAAAGGCACACAGCAATATAGTTCAATACAAGACACCGTTACAATATATATCACCATTTATTAGATTTTCTTATATTATATATTGATCATCTAATGTTTAATGAGTGTTCAAGTAAGCACTACTGAGCACATAGGTATATTACAACTTCATCACAACTTAGCTCCTCAACAATATGTCATTCGCTTACCAAAACTTTCATTCTCAAGATTAGTTATCCAGTTTGTTGAATCACACAGTAATCCATGCTGGAGAAAGACGACTGGACGTGGAGCCGTTGCATTTGCGTTTTTCTTTCCATGTGGAATACGCTGTAGGCCTGTTTTAACAGAAATATATCAAGAATCTTCGTTTCAGAACATAGCACATGGCAGACATGGCGAAGGCCTTTAAACCGAACAACTGTCAGCAAAGGGGCAAATGTTATTTGAGTGTGAAAATTTGACTATTAACCAACTTACTGATAGTGATCTTAATTAGAAATATTGTGTTAAGTCGGTAGGATGAAAAACAATTAAATCAAATAGATATACAAGGTACAGCTGCTATGTGTACATGCAACGACGTACACGAAGAACGTTGTTCCACAACAATGAGTTCATATAGTGTACCTAAGATATACCCATCACTTGTTGTTGCCGAGTACTCCTCACACGGATAGCCTTTGCTTGTAATCAACTCAGACTGTCAATATGAAGGAAACAGTGCAACTATTATGCATTCGGAGCAGATAAAGAGTCAATAAAAAAAACTGTTGAAAACTATATCATTGATATCTATAGCCCTATAGGTTCATTTCCACACTATGTAGTATGTGTAATATAAATGCAGTGTGACAGCGTGACAAAACTACTCTTGGTACTGCAGTCAGGTTTTAGTTTCTTACAGAACAGTCAGTATGGATTTTATAGATGAAATGGCTGTATTTAAGGGGAATCAAATTTAATAAATTATTGTCAAATTAAACAATTGTCATATGAATGTAAATATGAAAAGTGCAAATGAACGTCGTTGAACCTTGAACTTATGATTACAGATTAGTATTACTAGTACTAATACTAGCAGGGTTCTCCCTACGTTGCGCAAACCGGGCGCGCGGCACACAGTTGGGAAACTCCCCCACGTTTCAGTCGTTGGCGCCCCGTCTTAATTCCTCCGCCTAGATTATTTCCACACAATAAACAGTTTTGACATGCGATCTCAAGATTCCCATTCACAAGGGCACTATTTTCGAGGCGTGTTTTTTACGCGTAAACTATGAGTAACGGTCTCATAGATGCACTGCAGAAACACAATTAAACAGTCCCTGTCCACCTTACACCACATGTACCGACTCTGGCTGCTCTTTATACAGTACCCAAAATACGTCTATTGTTGTGGATTGCGATTTTACGCATTACGGCTAAAAAAACTAACGCCCGGACCCCTAGTTTCTTCCCTCCCCCTCCCTCTCCCCCCTGTTTCAATTTCATCCTGGGGAGAACCCTGACTAGTATTAGTAATGTTATTGTAGATTAGGTTTGGGTAGAGGATTGTGGTCAGGGGCATGTACAGGGGGGGGGGGATCCAGGGGGTCCGGACACCCCCCTGCTCGCGCAGAAAACGCATCTAAGAAGGTCTAATTTCAGGGGGAGGGCCCCCCAGACCCCTTCGCGTGCTCGCAAGTTAGTTTGGGTTACGGTTAGACCCCCTCTGGTACAAATCCTGTACACGCCCCTGGCCTGGTGGTGTATCTACTGTGGTCCTAAAGTAGACACGCCTCTTGAATTTGCACAACTACGTGACTTACAGCATTCATGTACACTTCAGGATCAATATTATGAAGCCATTTTCGGTGGAACCGTAACTTGCTAAACAAATGCTTTTGCGGCCGCTGGCTGACTTCATTGGCGTAGGAGTGTTTCATTGTGGTAACGGAGCCATAACAAGCACTCAATTCATAAAACACACAACAAACAATTATTATGAACGACTGATTATTCATATTTATATCACCAAATTATTAAAAACTTCAAAAATGAACTAAATAGAGCGCGTGTGGAATAACTTGCCAATAACACCGTACGACACGCCCGATCACGCGATGTTATAGACTGTCACCTATCTAAACGAGTTCTAGTTAGTAAAGACTACGAGCGGCGAATGAAATTCCAGTTAGCAAAAAGTGTCAGTCTAGACATAATAACAATAACCAAAACATTGCTAAATCGTATGCTATATTACGAGCTCGTCGTGTCATGAGAACAATATATGCAATGTATATATTTTTCTAAGAACGTGTCTGGAAGAATCAAAGAATAGGTGTACAACACTGATCTCAATATACTAACTTAGTTAACTAGTATATAGTATATTATAGTTAACTAACCAACTTATTAGTTAACTAGTATATAGAGATATAGGTTCTATATATTTTTCATTTATATATTTTTTTTTTTCACTTCAACGTGTGATGGTAGTTGATGGATTGTATTTGCGGGATTATTTTCCAGGTTGTGGAGTCTCTGGTTTCGTGATGCGGCCCTTGTGTTGGCTTTTCGTTGTGTGTGATTTGTTGCCTGTGCTGAGTGTTGTGTGATATTCAATTATTGTGCTTTAATTTTTTCTTTCCCTGTATATTATTGTGTTCAGCTATGCGTCTGTGAGTGCTTTTCTTTTCTATTTTTGATAGTATATATATATTTGGGACCTGCATATGCATATTTTCAGGGTAATTTTGCATGTTTACTTATAATTTATTTATTTTTTCATAACAACGCTCATATATATTTTTGTATTTTCCAAACGTATTGTCATTCATGGTTCAAGTCTTGAATCAAATTTAAGTAACTAACTGTAATTAGCGGAGTGGCTGACTCGAAGACTGTACATAGTCAATTCGCCCTCCCTCGCTGTACTTATTTAAAAAAACTTGTGATATATGTAAAAATGTAATATACTTGAAAGCGTAAATAAATTTTAAAATCTAAAAAAAAGCAGCAGTTAGATGCGATATGATATGACTACTAGGCACTTAGGATATGACTACTAGGCACTTAAAAAAAAAACCCTAACCCTAACCCTAACGCTAACCCTAACCCTAACCCTAAACAAAAAAATTAAATTAAATTAAAGTGCCTAGTAGTCATATCATATCGCATCTTTCTGCTGTTTGCAGCTACAGCCAGGGGCATATATCCGTACCGAGGAGTGGGGGGTCTGGGGAATTTTGAAATATTTAAGTCATTTTCTTGCAATCTGAGGCATACTGTGGCCATATTCTCATGTCTGATGACACTATCTCAACCCTACAAGTTAGGATTCAAAACACTTTTCATGACTTTTCAGAGAGCGTACACAGTTAGGTTTACAGGGGTGTATCGAGGATTTTCTCTGGGTGGGTCGTGATAATAATTTTTTGGACCTTTTCACAATGAAATAGCAGCAGGATGTGTCAATACAATCAGGGGCGTGTACAGGATTTGTACCAGGGAGGGGGGTCTAACCGTAACCCAAACTTGGGAGCACGCGAAGGGGGGGTCTGGGGGCCCTCCCCCCAAAATTTTTTGAAATTAGACCTCTTTTGATGCGTTTTCTGCGCGAGCAGGGGGGGTCCGGACCCCCTGGACCCCCCCTGTACACGCCCCTGACAATTTAATTAAAACAAAAAAATTTTGTTTCAAAAAAAAATTTATCAGTTTAAAAAAAAAGTTTTTTGAACTTTTTGTCTTTATCTTGTCTTGTCTTGTCTTTGTCTTTGTCAGTCTTTGTCTCTCTTTTATGAAACAAAATTTTGTTTAAAAAAAGGCTCAGTTTCAGAATTGCTGGAATTGGGATAGATTTACGTCACGCAATTGGCAATGTCTTTGGACTCATTGCTGGTACCTGATCTTTTTCATTTATGTCATTGTAAAAAGGCCCTCGAAAAAAAATGTCTTTGGAAAAAATGTGGACCTTTTAAAATTTTGGGGGGGTCGTACGACCCTCACGACCCCCCCCCCTGCATACACCCATGGGTTACTATATAATACATGCATAAATTGCAATTCTTACATGTATTATATAGGGCCCAAGGATAGAGAACATGGGTCCCAATAAAACCAATGTGCCTAACCCTAACCCTAATTCTAACCCTGGCCCTAACGGCCCAAGGATAGAGAACATGGGTCCCAATAAAACCAATGTGCCTAACCCTAACCCCAACCCTAATCCCAACCCTAACCCTAATCCTAACCCTAACCATAACCCTAACCATAACCCTAACCTATTATATTGATATAATATTATATGTATATTGATGTAAATGACATTGGTTTTATTGGGACCCATGTTCTCTATCCTTGAACCGATATGTGTACAGGCTATCCCCCCTCCTTCAAGAGCGGGGGATGCATCCCCCCCCCATCCCCCAGGGATTTACGCCCCTGGCTACAGCACACACGCGGCCATTGACTATATATATATATATACAACCAATTGTATATATACATAGTCAATATATAATGCAAACACAACATACACTTTATTCATGTTAAATAACTACATATTCATGTGCTATGCTCCGCTCGAAACTTTTGCCAGCGCTATGATCCGAATTTCTACAAAGTATTTCGAACACAATGTTGCACATTTCAAACACAAAAATGACCAACCGGTCTCCATGGCTACGCCACCTGACGGAATGTCACAACTACACGACCAGAGGAGAGACCGGATACTTGAGAGGCGATGCGCAAAGGAAGCATTGATCCTGACCGCCGAGCGCGGATGTTGCGCGCAGTTCCGCGGCAAGGCGCACGCGACCGCGGGAACGTGCTACGATAGTATCGGGCGCTGGCAGCTGTGCATCCGTGCGCCAAATCCATAGGTCGGCGCACGGATGCATAGCTTCATAGCTTATAGCAAACACTGTCGAATTTGGGGGAGGGGAATAGGGGGAAGTGTAACCCCCTTGGGGGAGCTGCACGTGTTATTCTTTTAATTTCTTCATAGATTCTATAGATCTTCTATTCTATATCTATGATTTCTTCCAGACACGTTCTTAGACAAATATATACAGGAGGCATATACAACAGTAAGCCTCCGCAAATTGTTAACCAAACTTGTCGTGTAGTTGTGACATTCCGTCAGGTACGGGTCAGGTACGGGCGTATTTATATATACCAGTACACCAAAAGTAGATAATACGGAATATAATAATTCTGATATACACTCACATAACCACATAAGCTCATAAAGATTGGTCTTTAATGTCAAAGGGATTATATCGAAGACGGGTCGACCCGAGAGAGATATCAAATAGACAGATCAACACTGCGGATTAATTGCAGCAGAAAAAGATTTAATTTTGCAATTAACCAAAGAGTAAATACGAAAATTCCAAGTATGGATTCTTCCAAGTATGGATTCTTCCAAGTATGGGATTCTTCGAAGATGGTGTATGTCGAAAGCACGGCGCTAGTGGTTGTACAGTGGCGGCAGACCAAGGTTGCCGGGCATGGGGGTGGGGGGGGGAAATGCCCAAGTCAAAGCCTTTGCCCCCCCCAGTCAGCTCCTGTACAAAGGTTTTAAGGACACAGTTCACAGGGGGTAATCCGAAGGTCACCGAAGGTCCGATAGACCGAATATTGAAAATTAAGGGACCCACGTACACACACGCATGGTTGCGCAACGGGACGCTCTGCTGATTGCCGCGCGTGTGTGTGTGTGTGTGTGTGTGTGTGTGTGTGCGTGTGCGTGTGCGTGTGCGTGTGCGTGTGCGTGTGCGTGTGC